CCCCATTCTCCCTCAACAACAAAGCGATGCCAAAATGCAACCCCAAGTAACTTGGATAAAATTCAAGAGTCAACTTAAAATTGTCTGGAGGCTGGGGAGGGAGAGGCGTGCATCAACACTACTTCGCCGGAAAAACAACAACAACAACAACAACAACAACAGCAGCATTAGAAACAACAACAACAAGATTGGACAGTTCTAAGAATTTTGCCGCCGATCGTAGCAAACGATTGACAACGCATAATAACATCAGCTAAAATTTTACAAAGCTAAAAATATCTGCAATATGTTTTTCAATAACAACAACAACAAATAAAACATACTAACCGGGCATGATTCACAAAAAGAATTTCCTTTGCTCACGTTGCAGGTCTTTGTCATATATTTTCCTACCGGACAGTACTTGCAACAGAGCGAGCCGCTCTGGTACATATTGTCAGGGCAGTCTAATGCATAAACCAAGAGACCAGAAAGGGCAAAAATAATCTAAGGAAAGAAACGAAATATCGACTTCAGATGAAATCGGCCATTGCAAATTTTTACTTTCGGAAAAATTTCAAATGAGCGCGCGAGAAGAGGACGCACGAGGAGTGAGCGCATAAGAAGCGAGCGTGCGAGACGAGCGCGAAGCAGGAGATACAAAGGCACACCACACCCTCGCTTTCAAGACAGTCCTTCTGACTTCCCGTTCATGTTCTTTCTAAGTCGTTACGAGCCAAAAACACGTAATCGCGTGATCGCACGGTGGTGTGTGATAACGTGGTAGTGATTGCGTGATCAGACGTGGTCAGAGCTAAACCCTGTTGTTGGACAAATGATTGAATGTTATATTCGATTTATTACACTACTGATCTCATAACTGGGAGAATATTTTCGATGGCTGATCCTAACAACACGCAGGAGTCTTTTAAAGTATGAATGGGCGAGTTGGTGTATACTGCCCCTAATGAAAGGTCCGGCTGTAACGACAAAAATGTTGATTTTGTTTACAGCTTAATTTCACTGTAAGGCAACAGATCGCGGAACTCGTCGGTAGGAAGTTCGATTCCTCGAGGGGAGAAAAAGATTTCTCTCTGTTTTCTTCCTCACTGACGAGAAAAATATCGTCTTGCTGTGATTTCGTTGTTGTTCTCAATCGATTTCGATTTAGCTTTGAATAAAAATGCGCTTTACTAATTGTTGCCCTTCCATTAAAAAACACGAACTTGGTTTATTTTATAGCAACGGAATATATTCCAGACGAGTTCTATTGAGTGAAAAAAGATCGAGATAAAAATTGAAATCACTGACGAAAATATTTTCAAAATGTTTCAATATTTTAACCTAACTAATTAACTTAGTACGAAACCAGAGATTATTGTGGTTGCAGAGGCCAATTACCGTACTGCATGCAAATATAAAAAAATTCCCCTCCCCGCTGATTCATTAAAATCTCAAGTCATTTTTCATTGCTTCACCCAAACAACTATTGTTCCCTTAAATCCGCTTTTCCTTGTAATGTTTGATGTATTACTTTTAAGAAACTAAAGAGAATTAAAAAGAATTAGCCTCACGACCACCCACGTCTAGCGTTTCAAATGAATAAAAGAAAATTCTATGTTTAACGAAGATGAATAAAGTTGAGATTAAAAAGTACGTCTTTAAATAACTATAGAGGCTGTGACAGATCTCTCAGGATGTCGATCCCAGTGCAATCTGAGGGTCACGTTCACCATTTTGTGCTTTAGGGTATCGGAAGAACGCCATATATATACCTCACATCAAATAAGCTCAGTTTTCTACAGCTCAGTGAAAGATTAGAAGAGCGCGAAATACAAAGGATCTCTAGTTCGCTTCCTTGTGGGAAATTTGTATTTCTTCGTTTTTCCAGTTTCGTGACATATGAAACAATCTCTCTTTAGACTGTGCGAGTCCTTCGCCGAACAAATCTCGAATTAACGAGCACACGTTTCAATTGTGCATTCATGGAGACGAGAGAGACTCTCGCAGATCGAAATCGAAGAAATATGGCAGAGCAAAATTATACTGAGAAAGAGTCCGAAAACTTCAAAATCTTTACTTACTGCAATTAGGTGAAGATCAAGCCCGGTTTCTTTCAGCCGGCGACTCATGTTTTCAATTTCGAATGTAGTGCTAGCCCCAACCAAGAACAAGTTGATTATGCAATAGGCGTGGGCATGTGGAGGCTTGTGCACTATTCACTTCACACTTATGTCAAGCTGAACACAAAACTACACCCGCGTATTTAAGTTAAATTCTTCAAATTGAGGCAAACACACGCACAAAAATTTAAATTTCGTTTTCAATTACAACTCGATAAGAAAGCCTGACCGATTTGACTAAAGAAGACAGATCAAAAGCATGAACGTAATCGAAAAATGTGCGTTTGATACGAAGAACAATCATGGCGGAGAATAGATCTGGCATGATGCCCTTTTTCTCGTTTGACTCATGATGGACATAGGATCTAATTTTATTTGTAAAAATCTATCAAAATATGTAATTATAACTGCAACCCAATGCTAAATTTAGCAAAACGTAACCATCTTAAAGAAAAAATGAACTAACGAAGCGATTTACTTTCTACCTGTAAAGTTATAATTGCTGAAATATTCAGGTCTTAGTGAGGCAACGCGGCTGAAAAAATATACGATAGCGCAGAAGCGAATGGCTTTATTTCTACAATTAATAAATTTAGTCTTCACAAGTATTTTATCCTACCGGTCGATCATTTAAGTGTAAAACTACCCGTTCAGAGACACGAAGAGCGAGGTTTTTTTCATAGCGCGCCAAAAGTTCCAATTAACATGATTATTCATTATCGAAGTGCCTCCGTGATTTTCAAAGACATTTGCACATTTTTTTGCATAACTCGACGCAAAATTACCGCAATTCGTCATCTTGCCTTTGTCTACTTTTCAAATTTTGGTTTTAATTTTCTTTCCAAAAACTTTACCATTAGCAGACGACAACTTAAAAATTCTGGATTTGAAAAGAAAGGATTTAAACTGTGCTAGTTTCTCCTGATCAAAACTAATTTACTTTAGCCTAATTCTAATAAAAACAAACACTTAAAAGCCTTAAAACAGGGACACAATGTTTACTTATGTACTTAAAACCACAGTGATGTAACAATGCTGGATCATAAATGTTTCCGAATCGGTCCCAAATAAACAAATCTGAGCGCGCGACTCAGAAGATGTGCTCGGGCTCGCTGGAAATTATAACTTTCACTAAATGTTGCCCGCTGAATAAATCTTTAAAAAATGTAGTAATTGGCTCAAGTACATGCCAAAAAAATATGGTGTAAAGATTAAGAATGAACGTCTAAATATACCAGTCGTTTCTGCGAATGAATTATCAGACCTTTGTTTAATTGCCTCGCCGTGGAGTTTCAAATGACAACTAAAAAGGTTTCGTAATATTCATACACCATGGAATGATTGCATATTCATTGAAAGTTTGAAACTACAAACTTGAAATATTCTTTCACCGAATCCTAAAGAATAACGTGAAATATATAAAATTAAATATATTTAGGGTTTAGATGCAATACGATGATTGCAAAATGTTCCTATCTTGGAATTAAATTTTAGTTATTCTAAGTCCAATTTGACAATTCAAAATTTCCTTATAAATGTGCTGTCACCGTCAAATGGAAACCTCAAGTATAATGTTGCGGCTAAACCTTCACCCACAAATTAAAACGGGGGATTTTACCACTGAAAAAGCACAATAACTACATTGAAACTTATATGATGTCATTTGTCTTTCCAAGCTGTCGTTTGCGCTTTTCTTTCGACTGAAACGAAGATCAGAACATCTGAATTCATCCAATATTTTAAACGATATACTGTCACTGCAAAACAAATTACCTTATCCCGGTATCCATTTGGGATGTTTGGACACGGCAGGATATCAAGCAGAATGTTATGCTTTAAGCCAAGACCAGAAATATGAGAACAAACAGGACGGCTACTAGTAAACTGTTCTAAAATTTATCCAGACAAATTATCATTTTCCAAGTTTAAGAACACGCTTTATGACTGCTTGTTTTCGCTGCATTTTACGATCTATTTCAGTCGGTGCAAGGTTAAGACAATGTATCAGACACCATAAATGAAATTAGGATGTTTTCGCGACGGCAAAGTTTTCGCAAAATGGAAACAAACTTTTACTCTCGAAAACAAATTGGGAGAAAATGTCGTTAGTATCCATTTGTGACTGTAAATTTAGAAGAAATCAAAAGAGCTCTACATCCAACCTGTTTCAACGCCTTATCTCCAAAGAAATGAAATAACGGTTGCTTCTTAGAGTTCATGAGAATTGTACTCACGTGGAATCGACACATCTCCAAATTGGATTGACTCGCTGAAATTTCATATCACTTATAAACTATTCAGAGAAAATTCACTTGCCATCGAAATCATTACCTAAGGTTAACTAGAATTAGCGGAAAAAAGTACGTTTGTTTTCCTCGAAAACAAATCCGGAAGCAAGGAACGAAATTGTCTTTTCTTTTTTCAGACATCATTCAGACATCATTCCGACTATCAGTCGAGGGCAACTGATGTTGATAACGACTGAAACATAGCCCTCGAAATTAAACTATTTCGTGTATCATTTTCAGCGCTGAAATGTTACACTCGGGCAGAGAAAACTTCACCTCTTGAACTTTCTTTTTCATAACTTCAGAAAGATTATCGAAAATTATTCGTATTCTGTAAGTCTGCTAACTGGAAGCATGTTTTTAAGATTATATCAAATAACTACAGTTAATCTGCATAATACATAGCTACAGATCGAGCGATTGCGCTTCATACGGAAGAAAAATATGGCTTCGAAGATGTTGTCATTGAAAATAACGACAAATGCGTCCGGACAGGTAAACAATTTTTGTATTCTTCTCCAACCGACAGAAACAGCGGGGCGAAATGAGTGTTTTGTCACTGTCGAGTTACCTCTTTTGTTATATCATTAGCAAATAGTTAAACGATTTCTGATGCAACCATAGGAAATTACTTGCGAAGAGTTCGGACAACTCTAACCTTCGATGGATGAAAATAAAAGCGATATTTCCTCAGTAAAGACAGCACTTAACCAAATGCATTGCACCAGATGACACATCATTCACCATTGCATCATTCACTTTGGATAGAAGATATTTTTAGTTTCTAAAGGACTGATTTATTGTCTGTCCTCTCTCTTAGCGTAGCTGATAACCTTGATCCTAATTTTTAAGTAATTCGCTGTTATTACGATCTCGAGGCCATTTAAAAAAAAAAAACGAATGATATATATGTTCAGTTATCGAAAAAAACTTTCGCCCGATCGCTCGAATAAAGAAGCATGCATATAATTTCAAAATCTATCCATGAAATTTGATGGAAAACATTAGACAAATTGATGAATCATCCATTGCCCTTATAATAATCTATTTTAACCGATAACATTTCGACAAGGGTCGATCTATTTCAACAACAACTGGAGATATTTCGCGTTGCTTCGGGGTACATCGAAACTTCACGTATCACATGGCACAGCACGCCACTAATACTTTATATTTACCACGAAAAGATGACAAACTTCCTTAAGTCTTACTGCCGCATAAGATTTACCACAACAAAGACATCAAAACAGGTTTATATGCGATCGTTTTGGATTCACAAAGCGCTTTGTAACGTCTCCGAGAAATCGAATTCACAACCTCTCTCAAAACTGCTGACTAATGAAATTTTTCTCTTTCAAAATAGATTCAGTCGAATGGAATAGTTTAACCTCGGTGAAGATCTTCGTCAAACAACAAAAGAGTGTTTCTGTTTTAGTCAAAGGAAGTAACAGAATCTATTTATGTTATGACTATTTTTTCCGGCCGATCGATATCCGACACAGGTCGAACGAAAAGTTTATAACAACAATGTTGAATCTCGTGTATATGTTGTTAACTATGTTAACGATACAGCTTGTATATTACTCACTCTTCTGACCCTGACATTATTCCTCCAAAATCTCAGATTGCATGACTTGAGAAGGAATGATTTTGGAAGTCAATTTAGCAACAACAAACGGCAAAAGTTACTTAAAACTATCTTTCATTCTTCCGCGAACAACGAGCATTTTTCACCGCAAAATCACACTGCGCTTTTTAGCGCGTGAAGCTTTCCGCATATTAAGTAGGAATTTTCGATTTCTTTGGCAAATTATATGCAAATAACAAAAGTAATCTGCTTTTAATGGAGAGGTAAAACATTCAATGTGTAACTTACCAAAAAATGTCGCTCCATTTCCGAACCGGACTGTTCCACGCTTTTCGACGCGTTCCTCGACCGCCGAACAACACGTTCTGGTTAGTGTGATGCTTGAGTGGTCAAAGATTAATTAACCAATAACGAAATCCAGTATAATACACATGCTTTAGGATATGTGATTAAACCCCGCACAAATTCGTCCAAATTAAACAAACGCAGAGCTCGCCGTACCACAATGAATGATGGAAAATTCTGGCTCCCTGCAAGCCCAATAGGCACATTTTACGGCGAAGTCCTTGCTCTCTACAGTTAGCGGAAGCCGTTATGGAAAATTGCTTTTCTGAATGAAAAGAGCTCTGTTTTGACAGGACAGGCTCGGGCACATCCGAAATTCTCGCTTCTGATTGGTGGAAAAATGTGATTGTGTGACGACCGAGAAGCGAAAACCCCCAGGGAGTTCAGCACGGCGGAAACTGTAATTTGCATTTCACTTGAGAAGCGAAAAACAAAATTCCTTGAGAATTTTGCATTCTTAGACGGAATTAAACCGTTATATCAGCACTGAAGAGTTTTACTTTCTAGTGTGCCAAAGATTAAGATTTGAGACTGACCTATTTTTGACGGCGATCGTTGCTTTGAAAAATGATTAAGCAATATATAAGAGGTTTTGTTTGGGCATTGTCTGAATCATTTAGAGCACGCATGCTATTCTTATCTCTATAAGTTTTACTAATGGAGTCCGTTGTTCTATCGGATTGATTTTCAGCTTGAAGCTTCCTCGAAGTACGAGTGATTTTTCCCACGGTTCTTCTTAACACAGACAGATTTCCGCGGTTAATCAATTAGTCGTCACCCTCGAGGCATGGTGAACAGATTTTGCGTGACAAGCAAATGGCAAATATTGCTCAAGCTCTGCTTTGTGCTTCTGCTTAAACCTTGATACAAAACCACTTTGGAAAGTGAAACTAAGCTTTTATCTTTTCACCACCTCGCACGTTGAAAAAAATGTGTCATGTGTTGTACATGATTTCGACAACAAGAGAACTTCCGCTTGGAAGTTAACTGGATTAAAATCAGGTCCGGAGAAACTCACGACAGTCATTTCAATCCGGCATTTCTCTTTATCAGTGGTCTCTATTTAAATTTTAAATGAGGCAACGATTGTTTTGACGACAAGATCAGTTTTGTATGCTAATTAAAACGAACTTTTTCGCCTCGTAATATTGATAATAGACGCAAACTTTGTTTCCTGTCTTTTATCGCTTTAAGTGCGAGTTGTCGTGTAATGGGTGTCAATTTAGGATCAAAACCGAGGAAGACAATTAAATGCAAAACCACCAACGAATGAAAAACAAAAAATCAACCACGCGATGACTCCTTAAAAAAAATATTGAAATTTAACATTCTAACCCTTGATGTTACTGAGCCGTCAATTTAGACTTGCAGCTATCTCGCTTTCAAGCGAGAGACAGCGAAGGGGGCGGGGGGGGAGGGGGAAGGGAGTTGAGGGAGGGGCGGAGGTGGTAAATGGGAGACGTTCTCTGAAGGTGGCCTAAAAAACAGACTAACTTGTCAGATCCGTCACGAGTGACTTCGCAGGGACGCATAGATTTCCTATATGCAGCCACTCAGTGTAAAATGGAAATTTAAAACTAAACTTTAGGCACGATAAAAGAAGTACAAAATAATTGAAGTCATGGGAAGACAACAGAACACAGTCGTGATCTTTTCTTTAAAGCAATTTGCACCTAATCCTATCTTTTGCGGTTACGAATTCAGGACGGTTGGAACAATCGGAAATGAACAGTGCTTGTTTACTCGTTCACCAATAAACATAATTTGTTTGGATAACAACCACATGACTGTTTCCGCGCTTTAATTCCCTGTCCCTGTCACGCTGCGAAATCTGAGTTCACCTCAGTTCCTTGTACAACACCCCATATATACTTCTTCAATGTTTTGTGGAAAAAAACTGGACTAAATTCTACTATTAAAACGATATTGAATAGCGATTCTAAGTTATTATCAACAGCAGTATCAAAAGAACCTGAAACTTTCATAAATTAAGATAAGAATTTGGGATTTAATGTTTCATCCAATTTTTTTCATTTTTTTTTTCATTTTTATTTCTATTTCATTTTTTCCGCTTTAGTGTGAAGCTGGGTAAGCATAGGAGTTTTGCCGAATAATAGATATTTTTAAGACATGTGTAACCATAGCGCTATTTTCTCTTATTTTTTATGTTTTTTTAAAGTGTCGACGTTTTCGCAATGGAGTGCGTAACCCACCGGGTACCCTTTCAACCCAGAGTGACCAGCATCTAGTCTCTCCTTACAATACTATTACTGAACCATTCATTTGAGATCATGAGAATAAGGAAATGATCACCATCTAAAGAAGCTCTTGATTGTTAAACAAATTCTCCTTGTCAGCACCTTAGGAAATGTATAGAGAACAGTAAGGAGAATATGCATAATGATGTTAGGGTGTAAAGAGTTAGACTTTACGTAATTCTCGATACAGGGAACCCTTAAGAATCTCACAAGAAGAGGATATTTATTCATTCATTTGTACAGGTTTTCTACGTTTAAGTTGACAGAAATGATAGACGGAATATTTATATCTCGAATTCGTATTCTGTAAAATTAAATTAAGCATTTGACCGTTACAAATTTCTATTCAAGTAGACGACAGTACTTAAAATCAACCGGAAGTTGATTTTAGCGGGAAAATCTGTAACTGCTTGCCTCCAGCTGCATAAGTAGGTACAACTTCTGAATGCAAACAATCAATTAAAATAATCTCCATTCAAACATTTGATCAGAGTTCATCCCGACGTGTAATCCCTAATTCCGGTCGTCTTAGGCGGTTTGGCTTCCGGTCACGCTTTTCAACCTCGTTTGCTTCCGGTGGTGACCAATTTGGTTCCTCTTCGTCGATATCGTCCTTCTCTTTGAGAGCTCGTTCTACTTTCTTTTTTTTCAATCGTTGTCTTTCTTTTTCCTCTTCCTCTTCGTCTATCATTCGGAGGAAATCGTATCCCTCCAAACGCGGTTTCCACTCACCATCGGCGAAGAGCCCTGTGGTTAAAACGTAAATTTAACTTCGCTGAAGCGCGCGAGTGATTTATTTACTTATTTCACTTATCTATTTGCCATATTTAGATAGGCAGACCCAAATTAGCTTTAAGCTGATAGTAATGGCGGCCCGTACAAACATTAACAAAGCCAGATCGCAAAAAACCGGGAACCACGCTCCCTATTCTTTGCCAGAGGTACGTGGATATTTTAACGTCCCTGGTAACCAGCCCCGAGAGGATGCAGGAGAAGGGGCCAACTACGGTGTATCGTCCTTATTCGAGAAGACTAAAATGCCCAGCCATTTGTCGATGTCATAGCAAAGGCAGCACATTCTCCTCAGTTACTTTAAGACCCTGAGCGTTGGTCTTGTCTGAGGGTTGAACTCTCGGCCTCTTGCACGGTAGTCCGGGACACTCTACCACCTGAGCTAACAAGGCAGCGGTTAAGTGTGCGATGAAAAAAAAATCGAATCCAGGATGTTAAGCAAAACAAAAAGAAACAAACAAAAAACGTACAGAGTCTGATGTAAAAAAAATAAATAAAACCTTTAGAAATTTCTCAGTTCAGCCGGAACGCCTCGCAAGTAGCCATCTTACTTGGAAACGAAATACCAGAGGCGATTAGTTAAAGAGGGAAATTTCATAGAAATGTTGTAGCACTTACGAGAGGGTTGCTCCTTTCCGGTAAGAATGCTCTCCACCCAGTTTTTTACTGCTTGTTTTGTAACTTCGTTTTTGAAGAGATGCACCGTTCCCTTTAAGAACAATCGAATAGATGAAAATTAAATAAAAAATTGAAAAAAAAATTAATGGTAAATTTAGAAAAGTTCATGTCGGTGTGAGGTCAACAATTGACCCTTTACTCATACCACTGGTGTGGGTGTCAATACAGCAGTTTTCAAGTTAGTGTGGAAAACTGACTACAACGACCAATCAAAGCAAAGGTTAACATCATCATTAGCCCATGAGAAGCCAGAATTTCTTGAAGCGCGCGAAAACGCGGGTGACCAAGTGGCGGTTGGTATTTGTCTTGCGTCTGATTGGTTAAAAGGATGGAGCGGGTTCTTTCGACGAATCACAAGGTGCAGTAGAACCAAACCAAACACAGATTGCCTTATATACTTCGATAGAAATATCTCTATTCAAACAACTATTTAACAAACCTTTTCGTGATTCACCAAGACCAATGCAGGAAGAGAACCACTAGTTCCTGCGTAGGACTTCAAGATTTCAGCGTTTACATCTTTGTCAGAATATCTGAAACAGTCACACCACCAAAATCTCAAGAAAAATTCCATAGAACTTACACAGTAATTCAAACTGACACCACAATACCCAAACTGCTTTTTCATTTCAAAAAAAAAAAAAAAAAATCTGAGCCGCAAAAATATTTTCGTCGCTAACTAAAAATTTCGTAAAGTCAGCAGAAGTTAGCACGAAGCCAAACGGACACTACGTGCTTAGAGCGGAATGACCTGTTAACAGGACTTTTTCTGCTGTCAAGTCGTCCGGTTTGTTTAACTGGCTACTAGTTTCCAGTCATACCAATTTTTCGCATGTCATGCGTACATTAGTGATGGAATTCTATGCTACGGTTAAGCGAATTCGAAGGAAATGAAATATGAATGATCAAATTGCCTGTTACACCTTCGAAACTGACGCAATAATTTGTTGCAATCCTAGTTTCGCTTAAGCCTGTTTTGTTTTGGAAAAAAAACCCTAGCAGTTAGCTAGGTAATGATAGCGTACGAGTATGCTCTAGTCATTAGCGCTGCAAGAGGCGCGTTTCTCCGCTTGAGGGAAGACTTAAGACAAGTCGAGGAAACGTTTGCCAAAGATCTGGCACTATCAGTACTAGATCCCGACAGACCTTTCGCTGACTCGCAATACTCAAGAAACACTCGTGTAGAAACGATAGTTACGAGGGCATTCTCGTGGATTACAGCGGGGACGAACATCAAACTTGAACTCAAGCGCAGTGAGAACTCCATTCCTCACTTTATCGACTAGATTACAAAAAAACTGAAAAAATGCAGTTACTTACACGGGCATCCAGCAAAGGAAAATAGATGGCAGCGACTTGTCGCGTGCGAGCCTTGTCATGACAGGTGTTATGACGGAGTCTTCACTATCAGCTCGGAAAACTATCAGTAGTGGCTTTTTGTATGATAAGTATGTTGGAAGATTGAAAGGTGTCAGCTCACCCTGCAAAGAGGAATATAAAAAACTAGTCATTGCGTCAAGTAGCACATAAGTTTTGCGAGGGTTTGATTTTTCAGATCAGTGAATTTCACAACTAGAATTTCAGCTGGAAACTCGTTTTTGCGATTTTCTATCCTTGCAGCACAAAACGTAACAGTGAACGCTAGTTACTTACAAAAATGAGATTAACTTCAAAAGTTAAATATTATTTCATTGTAAATCTACCAGTGGTCTATCACAAATGCTACAATGCGATTGGCTATGCTACTTGCTATTGATTCCATCACAAACATTGAAATAAGAAAGACTCCCAACAGCATGCATTGGTAAAACTAAAGAACACGAACCTGTCTTGTAAATAAGATCTGAACTACTAGAAGATTTTTGCTATAAAAATTACACCACTCGCATTCGATTTCTACGTGCGATAATGGATTTTAGGAAATATCTGATAACACCCAACTGGCCAATTGGTCAAAAATCTATCGTGTATTGCATCGGTAATAATGCACAAGAAAAAATTACGCCCTCCTGATCGGCTGAAAACAAGTGCTTCTCATGTAACGCAAGTGCAAAGTTGTAACACGGGTGCAAATTACAAAAAGTGCGCGCACGCTTTCAAAATTTCGTCCGTCTTGACTTTTTGGGGTGCTCAAAAACTCTGCAAATCACTCGCCATCAGCTCGTCATTTATAAACTTTTTTCGTGTTCTCCGAAAATCCTAAGTGGTTTATTAATAATGATAATAGGACTGAGTGGAGTTCAATTCTGTCTGTAATCACGAGTATGATAACAAACAGAATTGTATGGACATGGATGAAAGTGATCCTCGCAGTGATGTGCACTACTTAAGCAGTAGTGAAAATAAGG